ACTCCTGCCTTTTTTTGCTCTCCATTTGCTTGGTAGATCTTCCTCCATCCCTTTATTTTGAACCTTTGTGTATCCTTGCATGTAAGATGGGTTTCCTGGATACAGCACACTGATGGGTTTTGGCTTTTTATCCAATTTGCCAGTCTGTGTCTTTTGATTGGGGCATTTAGTCCATTGACATTTAGGGATAGTATTGTTATGTGTGAATTTGATGCTGTCATTTTGATGCTACCTGGCTGTTTTGTTGGTTAGTTGATGCAGATTCTTGATTGTGTTGCTGCTTTTTTACCATTTGGTGTGTTTTTGGAGTGGCTGGTACTGGTTGTTCCTTTATATGTGTAGAGCCTCTTTCAGGAGTTCTTGTAGAGCAGGTTTGGTGGTGATGAAATCTCTGAGTGCTTGCTTGTTCACAAAGGATTTTATTTTTCCTTCACTTATGAAGCTGAGTTTGGCTGGATAGGAGATTCTGGGTTGAAAGTTCTTTTCTTTAAGGATGTTGAATATTGGCCCCCAGTCTCTTCTGGCTTGTAGGGTTTCTGCTGAGAGATCTGCTGTGAGTCTAATGGGCTTCCCTTTGTGGGTAGCCCGACCTTTCTCTCTGGCTGCCCTTAGAATTTTCTCTTTCATTTCAACCCTGGTGAATCTGACGATTATGTGCCTTGGGGTTGCTCTTCTTGAGGAATATCTCTGTGGTGTTCTCTGTATTTCCTGGATTTGAATATTGGTCTGCCTTGCTAGGTTGGGGAAGTTTTCCTGGATAATATCCTGAAGAGTATTTTCCAGCTTGGATTCATTCTCTTCATCACATTCAGGTACACCTATCAGACGTAGATTAGGTCTTTTCACATAGTCCCACATTTCTTGAAGATTTTGTTCATTCCTTTTTGCGCTTTTTTCTCTGTTCTTGCCTTCTCTTTTTATTTCATTGAGTTGGTCTTCGACCTCTGATATCCTTTCTTCTGCTTGGTCAATTCGGCTGTTGAAGCTTGTGCATGCTTCACGAAGTTCTCGTGTTGCGTTTTTCAGCTCCATCAATTCACTTATTCTCCTCTCTATGCTGTCCATTCTCGTCAGCAGTTCGTCCAATCTTTTTTCAAGGTTCCTATTTTCTTTGCGATGGGTTAGAACATGTTCTTTTAGCTCATTGTAGTTTCTTACTACCCATCTTCTGAAGTCTGATTCTGTCATTTCATCACCCTCCTTCTCCATCCGGTCTGGTTCCCTTGCTGGTGAGGAGTTGTGATCACTTTTAGGAGGAGAGGTGTTCTGGTTTCGGGAGTTTTCATCCTTTTTACGCTGGTTTCTACCCATTTTTGTGGGTTTATCCACCTGTTGTCTGTCTCTGTCCCAGGGAGTTGGAGCTTTATGAGTTTCCGTTGCACTACTGCCTTTTTTGATTTTTTTTTTTTTTTCAGGTCTGACCCGCCCAGCTAGCAGCACGCCTAGCCTCTGCCTGCCCGCAGGGGCTTTGCTGAGCTGCTGTGGGCTCCGCCCAGCTGCCCTGAGCTCTTCCCTGTAGTCCTTTTTATATGGGCGTAGTTAGAACTGTCTGGGCAATGGTGGCCCCGCCTCTGTTATGGCGGACTCTCTCTGTTGTGGCAGGTTGCCTCGGCAACGGCGGGTTGCCTCGGCAACGGCAGCCTGCCTCCTTAGCGGTGGAGAGTCTCAGTAATGGCGGAAGCCCCTCCCCCACGGAGCCGGACCGTCCCGGTTCAGCTGTGCTTGGTTTGAAGGGCTCAACCCAGAGGGTTTCCAATTACTGTTTTTGTTTTCGTTGTTGTTGGGGGTGGAGGGGTGGGACCAACCGAGCCTGATCACCTGGCTCCCTGACTCAGAGTCTTTTCTTTTAAGTTGAACGACCCCGCGTTCCGGTCGCTTGTTGAAAAGGCGCCGAGATCTCCCGTGCTGCGACTCACGGAGTCGGCTCGAACCGCGGCGCCGGCTCCTGGCGGATTTTTTGCCTAGGAATCTCCTGGCCTGACTCGCTATTTCAGATGAATGGGCTATTCTGCCGTCTCAAGGCTCTGCTCGCCAGCTAAGAGGGCTCCCAGACCAGTGGCTTTTTTACGGAGAACGGCAGCAACAGGGAGTGGTCACAGCAGCCGCGCGGGCGGAATCAGCCCCGCGGGGGCCAAAACAGCCGCACCGGCTGGGACTGCGACGCTGGCGACCCCTCTGCCTGGGTATCTCCTGGTCTGTGGGCAATAAGAGTTCGTCTGGAAATGCGGCGTCCACTCACCCTCTGCACTTTCACTGGGAGCTGAAGTCCTGAGCTGTTCTTAGGCGGCCATCTTGAAAGTCGGATCCCTAAATGTAACATCCTTTCTTAGAGAAGTTTTCTTTGTCTCCTTCTTCCCCAGTCACTTCCTCCCATCCATTGTGCTTTCAGCAGTTCATTTGTTCATTAATTCAATCAACAAATACTGAATAATTTTTGATCAATGTCTTCCTTCCTCCAAGCTGAAAACTTGATAGAGGGTAACATGATCTGTATTTGTTTACCACTGCATCTTCCATGAATATACATTGTAAGTATTGAATGGAGTTTTATTAAATGAACAAATACTTTGATATAATATTTTTGGTAACCACCAATATCAATTTCTGAATTGATTCTAAAATTCTTCTGATGGACATCAGCTTATCTTTAGTATGACTGCTAAAGCCTTTTAAAGTGGGTGATAATACTTCATTTTGTTTTGTTTCATTAACTTATGTGGTTTTCTTTATCTTTGGAATCTTTTTAAAGGAAGATAAATTACATTTATGGAAGGAGGGTTTTTTTTTTTTAAAAAAGAATACTTTATTTTTAAAAGGTAAAATGCTGTGTGTAGTTATAATTTGGTAACTCTTGATTTCACCTTAGGAAAAACAGTATCACCTTCTAATCATTTCTTTTTTAATCAAATCACTTGCTTTTATTTCTTTATGTAGATGTGCTATTAAAAGATTGTAATCACTGCTGCATCTTTCCTGTAAGACTTGAGCACATTCTTAATTTCTTTCTAAACTTGTGGAGTAGAATTATAAATAGTATTTGGGTAATACACTGACTAATAGCAAAGACCCAGACATTTTCTTACCCTAGTCCTTACCCAAAGTTGGTAAATACAAGTTAGAACTCATCTTCTCAAAACTCTGATCTCAGAATTCCTGAGAAATCTGAATCTAAAAGAATTCTTTGCTTTTGACATCTTTTCCTTGATGTCTACCACAAGGCTCCTGCTCTTACGTTGTTGTTGTTGTTGTTTTTTTTTTTTTTTTTGTTGTTGTTTTTAACGTTTCAAATAGAAGATGGTAAAGTCATATAGTACAATCTCAGCATTAGAGGGTCTACTGGAGGTCGACTAGTGCAAACGCTTTCTGGATAATGGAATCCCTTTGGGAACATCCCTTGAAAGTCCTCATCTAGCCTATTCTTGGAAACGCACAGCGATCCACCTCATCGTTTCCTATGATGGCAGTTTCTATCTTTGTTGTTAGCTCTGAGTGTTACAAACTGCTTCTTTACATTGAGCTGTAACTAACTAAAACATTTCCACACACTGCTTCTATTTTAGCCTCATAAAGAACAAGTTGAACCCGTCTAAGGGCAGTGCTCTCGCTTCCTCTGTGTTTTACTTTCTCTAAGCTAAGCCTTCTTTGTTCCTCACTTGCTCACTATATGACCTGATTTCATGTCTCCTTATGCTTCTAGTTACTGTAACTTGAGTAGACTGATATTTTCTTATATTTCCAGATCCGGCAATGAGGGTGATACATCAGGTGTGCTCTGATAACTTGAGATTATGGTGAAAATATCATCCCCCTTAATTCAGATTTTATAACCTCATTGGCAAATCTGGCAATGAAAGTTGAAATGCCTGACCAGGGACAATGCCTGGTCAGACGCCACTGTTCTCATCTTTCACTTTTAGGTGTCCTTCAATTTGTTAATTTAGTACCTAGACGATGTCCTGAAACTTGTTAAAGCAAACTTCTTTTCAGAGCCAGAATATGAAATCATACTTAATAGAGAATGATCTTGTACAAGTTGGTTAATTTCACTAACAGTTTCTCAAACTTAACAAGATTATTGTAAGAACTAAATTAGTTCTAAAGTGTTTCCGTGTATGTAAATGCTTAAAATATGTAGTAAGTGCTGAATGCATATTAGTAATAATAATCTTTATTATAATTTTCACTATTACATGAGAAAGGTTTATTTTAATACTGAGCAAATGGGAAGAGTTCATGGTGTCTCTATGTTTTTAAAGTGTCATTTAATATGTTTATATTTATATAAATATATTTATATAAATATATATTTATATTTATAAATATATAATATATAATATATTTATATATAAATATATATTTATATATAAATATATAAAAACACATATATAACATATGTGTTATATATACATATTTATATATAAAAACACATATATAACATATATATATATTTCAGTCACACATTTGTTCAAATATGCCTTATGAGCAAGTCATTCTTATTTATTCTTGCCCATGAATGAGTCTACTTGGACTACATGCATTTAAAAACTCCCTTTTAATTTACTATTACAAGAATATTACTAGCAGAAGTAGTCTTTGATGCTAAACCGTATTTTAAGAATAACTAATTAGAATTCTGTTCTTGTTATAACACCTGTTACACACACACAACCCTACCTGGTGTGTCAGAGTCAGTTTGTTTGGGCTCACAAGCACCTCCTGTTCAATTTTCAGGAGCTTTGTAAGCCACTCGATGTCAGACAAGTGGCCTGAAATTTGTGATGGTGGCAGCATTTGCACCATGAACACTGGCCACTGCTACAAATCAAAGTCTTTTTCTTTTTCTCTTGGAGAGACACTTGTGAAACACTTACCAGCTCACCTTGCTTGAGAGTATTTCTTCAAATAAGATGAAAGACGTTTAGCTTTGAAGATTGTTTTGTATAAAAGTTTACATGGGAAAAAAAGCAAACTAATTGGTTGTTTTCCGCCTGTGGTTTTAGGGATACGAAAAGACCGAAGAGGAGGGAGAATGTTGAAACACAAGCGCCAGAGAGATGATGGGGAGGGCAGGAATGAAGTGGGGTCCACTGGAGACATGAGAGCTGCCAACCTTTGGCCAAGCCCGCTCATGATCAAGCACTCTAAGAAGAACAGCCCAGCCTTGTCACTGACGGCCGACCAGATGGTCAGTGCCTTGTTGGATGCTGAGCCCCCCATAATCTATTCCTGAGTACGATCCTACGAGACCCTTCAGTGAGGCTTCAATGATGGGCTTACTGACCAACCTGGCAGACAGGGAGCTGGTTCACATGATCAACTGGGCAAAGAGGGTACCAGGTAAGAATGTGAAACTCAACTTTTAAGAGTCAATAGCTTTTCAAGAACTGGTTGTGATGTCCTAGGAGAAACTAGTAGGAGAAAAAGAAGCAAGCAATAACTTGTTATGTAATTGATTTCAAGGTTACAGGAGATGTGTACATTTTCAGTATCAACACACTGTAATTTTCCTGGATGTTAGAAAAGAATATTTTTAAATCAAAATCTAGGAGACTAAAATTTTTAAATTGACATAATTTATTTTTAAACATCTATTCACCAAAAAGATTTAGGGTAGACACTACATGATAAAACTATTTAATAGTATATGTTCACAGTAGCAGAAAATTTTAACACTAAATGATCTATAAAAGTTTTTAATATTAATGACCTTTGTTCAAAACATCTCAATTATTAATAAAACAAGTTTTATCTTGAAAAGATTTTAAAGATTGGGTGTAATGCCTTATGCCTGTACTCCTAGCACTTTTAGGGGCTGAGGTGGGAGGATTGCTTGAGCCCAGGAGTTTGAGGACAGCCAGGGCAACATTTTTGAAACCCTGTCTCTACAAAAAAGATTTTGAAAATTAGCTTGGTACAGTAGCACGCACCTGTGGTCCCAGCTACTGGGGAGGCTGAGGCTAAAGGATGGCTTGAGCCCAGGAAGTCAAGGCTTCAGTGAATCCTGTTTGTATGGAGTGCCGCTGCACTCTAGCTCAGGTGACAGAGCAAGACCATGTCTTAAAAAAAAAGTTAAGAAAGATCTTTATGGATTAAAGAGATAATAATAAGGTTATTTACTGAATGCCAATTATTTATCCAACCTGATTTATGCTTAATATTTTAGGAAAAAGAGAAAGACAGTGGAAAAGTAAATTAAAGTTTCATCCCTGAAAGAAACTTTTAGAGACACAGTGGCTGGCTGAAGTGACACCTTGTTCCTTTAGTTGATTCTCTCAGAAGTGGTATTGTGGTAAAATTGGACTGTTACTCTTGTTGCTCAGGGAGAAGAACTCAAGTGTGTGTGGAAACAAGGCTAGGAAATGACTTTCTCCCTGCCCCAGTGTAGCCATTCAGGAACTAATGTAGATGAACCGAGGCAAGAGGAAGCTAAATTTTTTTTCTGGGCTTATAGATAAAATGAGTGATAGATTTAGTTAGACATTTTCTCATTTGAGTTCTTTTAATAGACACAATTAATTGTTTCCTATGAAGGCATGAAATGTTTTGTATGAAACTAAAAGAATGTGGAGTTTGGTACTTGCGTTTCAAGGGTCACTGCTGTGTTACAGCCCAAGTGAACTTATGTTTGGTGTTAGAGAATCTTACATGTATTTGTATCTATCAGCACATAAACATGTGGGCTGTAGAAAAAGGAGCCAACAGTACCGGGACCCAATCTTGTTAGAGGCCACTGTTTTGGTGGTTTGGGTGGTTATTAGGTTAAAAGGAAGCATGGAGAATAACAGGCAAATTTAGGTTTTCAGTGTCAGTTGAGCTGGCAAACAAAAATTCCTGGTCATCTTCAGAATGAAAAGTTTTCTTTAGCATTTTTATATGAAGCAGATACATTATAAGTTAATTGTTGGAATCTAACTGTAATGTAGCTATGATTTTTCTTTATATTTGTTATTGCCTTGTTCTTATATTTTAGGGAAAGAGAAACAAAGAAAGAAACTAATGATCATATATTTGAGAACCAACTCTTGGTTGCTGTTCATTTTTATTTTCCTGTAAACATATATTTTCCCTCATAAAATCTTGGTAATATTAACTCTGGAGTACTGCTGAACTCAAGTATAGACATCTTCCTATGTATCAGTAGATTCCTATCTGACATTTTTATAACAATAAAATATTAAAGAACATTTGAAACAACTGGAATTAAGCTCAAATATATTACCACTGGTTGAAGAATTCACATCAATAATTTTCTGAATTTAGGAATAAAGTGGAGAAGCCAAGGAAAAGAAAATATTATATACAGGCTAATAATTGTTAAAATACAAATATTAAAGCCAGAGTTAGGCAAATTTATGCTAATAAGATCTATAACAAAACCACTCTATAACTGCATCATGTTAGTTTAAAAGACCTGAAGGATTCCAAAATCCTTAGACTAATAAACTATGTCTTCTTACTTGATCATTTAAAAAAAAAGAATTATAAAGGCAAAAAATGAAACTCTGTGTGTGTGTGTGTGTGTGAGTGTGTGTCCCATGGGAATGCAGCTGTTGTAAATCAAAGGCCTTCTTGTCTGATCAAGCAAAATAAAATTAGTGATTGATTTTTAAAAGATGAAAAATGAGGGAAGAAAAAAATCTTTTGTAAAAGCTCTATAGATGGTTGTCAAGCTTTTCGGAAAAATAGACAAACATTTTGAAAAGCATTTATATATTATATATATCCAAATACCATCTGTTATTTAAAAACCATAGCCACACAGAAAATCCGATATAGGCAATGTAACGTTTATGAGATAATAGTTTGAGAATGACAATGATAAGAGTAATTTTTAGAAAGTGGAAATAGGGCAGGCACAGTGGCTCACACCTGTAATTCCAGCACTTTGGGAGGCCGAGGTGGGTGGATCACCTGAGATCAGGAGTTCAAGCCCAGCCTGCCCAACATGGCAAAACCTCATTTCTACAAAAAACAAAAAACAAAAAAACAAAACAAAACAAAACAAAACAAAACAAACAATCAAACAAAAACCAAAAATTAGCCGGCTTTGGGGGTGCACACCTGTAGTTCCAGCTACTTGGAATGCTGAGGTGGAAGAATCACTTGAATCAGAGGGCAGAGACTGCAGTGAGCTGAGATCCCACCACTGCACTCCAGCTTGGGTGACAACGAGACTCTGTCTCTAAATAAATAAATAAATAAGGAAATAGTAAACATCATTAGTAAGAAGAATAGCAAAAAGTTCTATTCTAGAAATACCTGAAATTAGCTGTATAATACAAAAACTCTCATGGAACATTTGAATAATCCTCAGAATACCTATCAATATAACAGAAATTGTTAATTGGCTTCATTTTGAATGATGAATTTTTAACAAAAATAATCAGTACTTTGGACTATCTTAGTAGTTCTAAAAGTGCTTTTTCTTCTTCTTTATTTTTAACTAAAAGAATATTGTCAGAATTTTTAAATGTTGATGATTATAAGTTGAATTTTCCCTTTCATTAATATCTGGGGCTTATTTTTTGACTTGATATGTTTCTCTACCCAGAATTAAGATGTGAAGAGCTTTAGGATAAAATGCATCCTACAAGTGTGACAGTCAAGTTCCAATGCACAAAGTACTTCTAGCAGACCTGGATAAAGATGACCTTAAGATATGATGTTTTTTTCTCTTTGCAGTTTAAAAACAAGAGTAGCAACAAGAATGATAAAACCTACCAAGCTAGCTCTGACAAAAGATGCTTTTTTATAAAACATACTATGTATCTGCTTTTTGTTATTTACCTATAGAGAAGGCTGTTCTCCTTATTGTTTGCTCTGAAATTTATCTTTAATAGGCATTTTGTAGCTTTATCCCTGGATAGAGATTTAGTTTAAAAAAAACTAGATGATTGAATCCTAATTTACTGTTATTCTACACATGGTGAAACTAGTCAATAAATGTAATATCATTGAGCTGAAGGTTAAAAAGAAAATATGTGATTGCAAAAGTAGTATTTTTCATTTCAGCATCACACTCAATTGCATCATTGAGTGGCTCATTCTTAGTTTCAGTGTTAATGAAATACACCTGAGTTTTTTCTCAGAAGCTTGAATTGTGTCACCAAACTGTCATTTTGATTTATTAAAACTTATGTCTTTTCAAATCTTCATCATAATTTTTACCTGTCTCAAAAGCAATTTTATTCTTCAAGTTTGTACTAGTAGTTCTATATAGTTTATGAAGATTTGGAGAGATGTCTAGCTCTGAGTTTTTATTGCCTATTAAATACTTATCACCTGAAAGTGTGACAGCCTTATGAACTGCCACTGGGCACAGATCTGGGAGAGCACGCTGAGTGCTGGCCCAGGAAGAGGAAGATAGGAAAAGGGGCAGTTCAGGGGCAGCTTGGCTTCCTGCGAAACATGCCACCTTAACCACTTCCTCATTCTTTTAGTGGCAAACTAGATGACCTTCTCCTTCCCCTTTCCTGCCAAGTCTCTCTCTGCTTAACACTCTAGAAGGCCCCTCTTCCTCCCCAGTCCTCACTCCCTGTCATTTGCTTCAGTTTGCCTCCTTGCTCTGTTTTGGCCCCAGGAACAGATGATTTACTCTTTCTCGACCTGTCTCCCAGCAGCCCCAAGTTCAGGTTTCTCGAAAGTTTCTGTGTTGTCTTGAGGATGCGTGGTTGTCTGAGTCATTCCAGGGCTCAAGGCCTCTTCTGTGTCTGTATTCTCTAGGAATCCAAGAATTTGCTTCTCTGCCTCTCATCCTCATCCCTGTCCTCATCATTAAAATTAGCAGTGATTTGAGCTAAGGAAATGCTGGAATGAATGAATGAATAAATGAAAGGTGAATATTGAAAGTTTTAATTTTAAGAAGTCTCTGAGCCCCACCCATTTCAGCTCAAATTTCCCATAAACTAGAACTGCTTTCTAAGGTTGTGGCATTTTTCTTTTTTCCTCTCTTCAAAATCTACCTGCTGTTCTGCTACCTCTCTTACAGCCACCTTAGCGAGACTCCACTTCCATTTCCAACCTCTCTTTTGTAAGGGACAGAGAAATAGCTAGAGGAATACAGAGCCATGCACTCTGAGGACTTCAGCAGGCTTCAACTTAGCAAGTGAAATTTGAAACTTAAAATGGGTAGGGATGACAGTTCCGGGAGAGGGCATAATACCTCAGTCTGGGAATTGGCAGCCTCTTCAAGGAAAACACTCAATTCTGGGAGCTTCCTGTAGATTCCAGAGACTTAGCAGGACTTCCCAGTACTCTGCTTCTCAACCTGTCATTGGACCAGTAAACCCTGGTCTCAGGCTGTTGTGGTGTCCAGCCTGCTTTGGCAAGGCAGTGAA